GACTCATACCACGGTCAACTACATGGGAGTCCAGCGACATAGCCATTACACCACCGCTGGTCTCGGAAATGATGTATATATTTTTTAAAGTTTATTTCTTCTATGAGAGACAGAGAAACAGACAGAGAGAGAGACAGAACCTCTGCTGGAGTCCTAACACTGCAATCTACCCCTAGCCTCAGCCAGCCTCAGATCATGGACATACAGGTGCCCAGCACACTCAGGGAGACTTGCTGATGCAAATCTAGAACCTTTCCATATGGGCCAGTCTTTCAGAGCATACTATTTCACTGCTGCACCACCTTCCAGCCCTTAGACTATACTTTTTGTTTTAAAATAAGAAGATAGAGGGCCAGCCCTGAAGCCTAGTGGTTAAGGGAACCAAATCCTACATGACTAAACATGGTTCAAATCTAGCCTCGGTGGCTTTAAAAATAAGCCAGGTGTATGTGCATGTGTGACCAAAATTCCAACAGGAAGAGGCAACATCCAGAGATGTACTGCCATGCTGAGTACCCAAACGTCCCAAATGAAATCCACCAATTTGGGGCCAGTAGGTAGTATAATGGTTATGTCACTGGACTCCCATACAGTTGACTGCTATTTGAGTCCCACACCCGGCGGTTTAAAACTCACGCTGGGTGTGTGTGTGTGCATGTCCAAGATCCCAAGAAGAGAATGGAGGAGAAGGGATTGTGGTGTGGCCATTCCCAGCTGGGGCAGTGATTTCTCACTTTCTGTCTCCCTGTCTCTCCAATGATTGCACGCGCCCTATAGCAAATATTTCTCTTAAAAAAAGAAATCCCCCAACTGAGTATGTATCCAACTATGTTCTCAGTCACAGCTGAGAATTAATTCAACAATTACTGTCCCTTTCTTTCCTTTGTTCACAGCATCTTAGGTCCAGTTTAGGGGGTGCTGGATCATAGCTACTACATTGCAAATCACTTAATGCACCTATAAAAAGAAAATGTCTTTAACGTTATTTGCATATCTAAAATATATCCTGACTCCTATTCGAAAACAATAACAAACATATCCAGACTTCCACAATTGTTATTGGGTTGGCAGAAAAGTCATGACATATTTTTTTCTGTTTTTCTATATGAAAATGAATCATGATTTTTCCAACAACCCAAAATATAAATTCCATTTTGAGTTTTGTATCTAAGAGCTTATAACTGCTTCCCCTGGAAATACAATTCTATAGGATTACAAAGAGATACCATATCCATTACAGAGAAGAAAAAAGACAAATATATTTATCCACTGCTAAATATTAAATTCCTTAGATGAAAGGCCTAAATACACAGGTTATAAAAGGACCTTTGAAGGCTAGGATGTTGAGAGATTCCAAAAGAAGAACAAGGGATCATCAGACCATTATTTACATTAAATTTATAGCCACTTCCCAGTTTTGGCCTTTAATCATCAAAGACTTATTGTGTTTAAGATTCAAGTCGATGGTATACATTCAACCCAATTTCCCTGCCACTGTTTGCAGACAGAAGTTCGCATTTAAGGAAAGGGTTGAGATTTCCTACATCCATATTGGGATGTCAAAACAACAATTCCAGAAAACTCTGTCCTGTTTTAGAATGCACCCTGGGTGCCTCCAGGACAAAGGTTCCACACGGCCCTGATAACACATGCCACAGGAGCTACCCCAAGTTTATCGAGATACAGTAGTCCACCCTGGATGGCGCCTTCTGGAAACCTTCATGACCTTGCAACTGAGAGCTTAACCAAGATCACTGGTTGCCTAACTCGGCCCTTTCGGTCTATATGCTCTATGCTTCCCTTGAGCCTGGTATGAAAGGAGAAAGGAAATAAGTATCCAGCAAGCAGGGAGTTCAAGTCCATCAATGAGCCTATACTTGGGACTAACTGATGGAATCAGTTCAACAGTCTCTGGAGTGGACTGGAGGTGGCCAGGCAGGAGAGAGAGTATTCCAAGGAGAGAAACAATGCAGTTAAGGCTCTAAGGATCAGCTCTGCCTAAAACAGGCCTGACAGGAGTAACAGGCCTGTGTTAATGAGTAGTTAGATGCTGGCAGAAGCCTGTAGTCAGCTGTCTTGCAGCCCGGCCAGTTGTTAAAATATTGCAATACTGCTGTATCGGTTGTTAAATATTTTGAACAAATGCCCCAGACACCAGGTTGCACTAAGTCCTGAAAATGAGGCAGGGCAGCTTTGATTTGCACTGGCAAGTAAATAGTGTACCATGACATCTCAAAGGGACCTAAACAGAGGAATGTGATGGAAAAGGTGTTCCAGGGGAGTCCTATCGGGTGGCAGTTGGTCTTTTCTGCCTTATCTCACCAGGAAGAAGAGAGGAGAGGAATTTCATAATCTTGTGCTGGCTTAGGTGAAAGTTGTTTATTCCACCAGTAATTCATGAGAAGTAACTGGCTGGCAACTTCAGGACAAACTCTGTTTAAAATGTAGACATGGATAGTCCAGCCTCACCTATCTTTGCATTCCCAGACTAAAATGACCAAGGCTTTTGAAGATTTCCTGTCAAATATGCACAGACTCTCATGAACCCACTCATTTCTTGGAAAGTATTCTTTTCTTCTTTTTCTTTATGTGTGTGTATATATATACATACATACATATATTTAGTCTTTACTATAGATAAATGTACTTGATAGATACAAAAAGAGAAAAAGAGAGAGAGTGAGAAAGTAAGAAATCACTCCCAGGGAGTGGCCTTCTCTTCCATTCTCCTCTTAGAATTTTAAGCATACTCACATACACACTTGGCCTGTTTTTCAAGCTGCTGGGTTTGGGACTAGAGCCACAGAGTCAGCCATGTGCTGTCCAGTCACCTTAACCTCCATGCCACCCGGCTGATCCTGAAAGTCCACTTAAGTTTCATGTGTCTCCCTTCCTCAGAGCATGAACACTGATAAGGCACATGGACACATAAAATTAGGATGGAGAAGTGTCCATTAGATTTGGCTCTTGGAGAAAACCATTGGCGTCTGAGCAATGGCAGGTTTGAGTCCTGTGGGCGGTGTGGGTGGAGACCACATGCTCAGGAACAAGGAATAATCTTGAGCTGATGGAGTGTACACAGCCTCTTCAAAAAGCCTGGTCAGGAAGAAGAGGACAGTGATAGGCCTAGAGCCAAAGGCAGCTACAAAAAGAAATGGGGAATCCTTCATAGAAGTTAGGCTTGGGATCAGCAGTTAGTGTAATAGCTATGTCGCTGGACTTCCATGTAGTCGACAGTGGTTCGAGTCCTGAACCTGGTGGCTTAAAACTCACACCGGGCATGTGTGCGTGCGTGCCCAAGATCCCAAGGGGAGTATGCAGGAGAAGGGATTGCGGCATGGCCATCCCCCCTGGGAGGGTGATTTCTCACTTTTTATCTGTCTCTCTCTGTCTGGTGAGTACATGCACCCTATAGCAAAAACCTCTCAAAAAAAATAAATAAATAAAAAAGTATTTTTGTCATAGAATTCTTGAAGACAATGACAAGTGTTAACACACTATTGACAGTCATTACTGAATTTATCATTATGAAAGCCTATTTTTTTTTAGTAACTAATGAATTATCTTTAAAAATCTACATATATATACACATATACATACATACATATTAGGTTGTTGAAAAGTCATGAGGCATTTTTGTATAGAAAAATACCTCATGACTTTCCCACCAACCTAATGTGTATGTATATGTGTGTATGTGTGTGTGTGTGTGGATGTGTGTATTGCTTAATATTAATAACAACAACATTGACTAAGCAGCCACATATGGCAAACACCATGATACTATTCCCTGAGCTAAGCCTATCTCTATGAGGCAAACATTCTTTTCTCTTTTCTTTAGAGAGGTTTTTGCTATAGGGTGTGTATGCTCGCCAGAGAGACGGAGAGAGACAGAGAGACAGAAAGCGAGAAATCACCCCCCAGAGGGAAGGCCATGCCATACACCCTTCTCTATTCTCCTCTCACAATTTTGGGCACACATGCACATGCACAAGCTGCCGGGTCAAAGACGTAAACTTTGGTTATGCATGTGGGAGTCCAGCGACATAACCATTATGCCATCTGCTGGTCCGGAGGCAAGCATTCTTACTACCATTCTATAGTTGATTCTGAAGCTCATAGGGATTGATAAATAGGCCCCAAGTCACACAGTCAGTTAGTGGCAGAACCCAGCTTTGAATCCAGATCTGTGGAAGAGGTGGGCTTTACCTATATTGAGGAATTAAAATTAGGTTTAGGAACCAGAAGTTGTTGTAATGGCTATGTTGCTGGACTCCCATGTAGTTGACCGCAGTTCAATTCCCGGATCTGATGGCTTAAACTCACGCCAAATGCATGTGCACATTCTCAAGATCCCAAGAAGAGAATGGAAGAGAGGGGATTGGAGCGTGGCCATCTCCCCTGGGGGGTGATATCTCACTTTCTATCTCTCTGTCTCTCTGTCTTTCTGGCAAGCACATGTGCCCTATAACAAAAACCTCACACACACACACACACACACACACACACACACAAATAGGTTTAAATAACAAACTTTTAGGCAACTTGGTCAAGAAAACATGTAAAAAAGTTGTTACTTAAATCCAGAATGTATTTCTTAAAAGGAACACTAATGTCTCTTATTGTTATTACCCATAACAAGCCCACACTGCTATTTTTCTGAAGTTCTAAATAAAACAATAAACAATTCCATTCTCTCCAGTTGAACTAAGTGTTCTCCTGTGTCTGAATGCATTTGGATGAAGATCAGAAAAGGCCCTGAGCTTAAAGACCTTCAGGAAACATCCACTTGTTGTCAAACCAGGAGGCTGTCCTTTGAAGTCTCTCCCCACAGCTCTGCTTAGGTAAGATGTTTTTCCACCTAGGATAATGACTCATTCAGATTGGCTATTAGAAGAGAAAGCAACAAACCACCACAAACCTGTATATCTGCTAGGATTTGTGGGTTGTTGCTTTTTTTTTTTTTTTTAGGTTAGTTTGTTTTAAACTCTGTTCATTACCTGGATCCACATCAGAAGAGCAAGGAAAAGAAAGGAATTCCACAGAACTGAAAGCCTCGCTGTTGGGCTCCTGGCTAGGTCTCTGCAGCACATAATCTCTTATGTCATTCGTTGATGGCAGGTCCAAAACATTGCTCTCCTCTGACTGGCTGCCTGGAGTGTTTTCCTGGGTCGCCATAGTACTGCCGTGGAGGAAAAAAAAAAAAAAAACGCAATCAATACAAAAGACACTACCTAGCAGGAACTTTCATTAGAGCCATAACTTAAGGAATCTTGAAGAGCAAACAACAGTAAAACCAGAATAATCTACTTTCCCATTATTAATGGTCTTGTCTTTACTTTAAACTTAGTATTTGTCTACCATGTTTTCTTTTTCTTTTTTTTTGGAGAGGTTTTTGCCATAGGGCACGTGCGCTCTCCAGACAGACAGAGAGAGACAGAAAGTGAGAAATCAGCCCGAGGGAGGATGGCCACGCCACAAGCCCTTCTCCTCCATTCTCTTCTTGGGATCTTGGGCATGCACACACACGCGCCCGGCGTGAGTTTTAAGGCACCAGGTCTGGGACTTGAACCACGGTTGACTACATGGGAGTCCAGCGACATAGCCATTACACTAACTGCTGGTCCCTACCATGTTTTCTTCATCATGAGAAAGAAATACTTTCAGCAGAAAGAAACCATTATTGGGACCAACAGATGGTGTAATGGTTTTGTCACTGGATCCAGCCCTGTCTATCTCTGTGAATTAACTGAGAAGCTGGGGAGATCCTGGACCCTCTGCTATCTTCTGCCTCTTGAGTTGCTGTCATCATAAGTCTTATTATAAATGGCACCAAGTGTCAGAAGCACTATAGGCCACCATGAGCCACACAGAGGAGTGACGCAGTCAGATTTGATTTGCAGGCAGCTGGATAGCAGGTGGTTTTGCAGGGTTTAAGCCTTGTGGCAGGCAATCTCATCAACATCAAGACTTTACTCACCTGCAGTAGTCCATGTGAGACAGGAAGAACACATAAACCAGATCAGGGCCCTGTGGGTCAAGAGTAGAGGAGAAATTAAGAATATATTTAGGGGTACCGATAGATGGCATAATAGTTACATCACTGGACTCCCACGTAGTCGACTCTGGTTCAAGTGCCAGACTCGGCAGCTTGAAACTCACACTGGGCACACGTGCATGCGTGGCCAAAACCCCAAGAGGACAATGGAGGAGAAGGGAATGTGGTATGGCCTGGGGGATGATTTCTCACTTTCTGTCTGTCTCTCTCTGTCTCTCTAGCAAAAGCACATGCCCTATAGCAAAAAATCTCTTAAAAAATAAAAAGAATATATTTAGGGGCCCAGTCATTGTGGCATATGCAGCAGGGCTAAACAACACTGAAGCCACATGAGAAGGCCCCAGGTTCAGACCCTGGGATGACAAGAACATCCTGAGCACAGCCATCATCCTGGCTGGCTGGACGGCTGGAGGATCATATGTGGTGAGACGCTGTCAAGAGTACATCTCTCTCTCTCTCTCTCTCTCACTTTAACTCTCTCATAAAATAAATAAGCTCTTTTTTTTTTTTGAGAGGTTTTCGCTATAGGGCATGTGCGCTCACCAGACAGACAGAGAGAGACAGAGAGACAGAAAGCGAGAAATCACCCCCCAGAGGGATGGTCACGCCGCAATCCCTTCTCCTCCATTCTCCTCTTGGGATCTTGGGCACGCACACACACGCGCCCGGCGTGAGTTTTAAGCCACCGGGTCCGGGACGCGAACCGCGGTCGACTACGTGGGAATCCAGCGACATAGCCATTACGCTAACTGCTGGTTCCCAATAAGCTCTTTTTAATAAAGAACATATTAAGGAACTGTACGAGTAAAACTTAATAACCAAATGGAGAAAGATTAAGGAAGAGCTGAGCATCAACAAGGAGAGGCAGTTTTGGCGACTGGGCTGTATTATTAACTGAGTAAGAGAAGACAGAAGAAGCAATAGGTTTGAGAGAAGTCAATATTCCAAGTTCCAGAATACTAGGCAGCTTTTAAAATGATAGTCAGAACTTCAGTGATCTCAAAGACATATGTTCGGGGACTAGCAGTTAGCGTAATGGCTAAGTCGCTAGACTCCAATGGAGTTGACTGCAGTTCGCGTCCCAGACCTAGTGACTTAAACTCACGCCAGGCGCGTGTGCGTGCGTGCCCAAGATCCCGAGAGGAGAATGAAGGAGAAGGGATTGTGGCATGGCCATCCCCCCTGCAGGGGGTGGGGGGTGATTTCTCTCTGTCTCTCTCTGTCTTTCTAGCAAGCATATGCACCCTATAGCAAAAACCTCTCCAAAGAAAAAAAAAGAGAGAAAGAGAGACAGAGAGAGAGAGAGAAGGAGAGGAGAGAAAGAGAGAGAGAAAGAAGAAAGAAAGAAAGAAAGAAAGAAAGAAAGAAAGAAAGAAAGAAAGAAAGAAAGAAAGAAAGAAAGAAAGAAAGAAAAGACATATGTTTGAATGAAAAAAGCAGTATCAGTGCCAGCCGGTGGCATGGTGGTTAAGTCAGCTGGATCCCACATGGCTGACTATGCAGTTCAAGTTCCAGATTCAGTGGTTTGAAAAACGTGTACATGCTTGCCCCAAATCCTGAAAGGAGAAATTATTACAGTGAGGCCAGATCCCCAGTGGCTGCTTTCTTTCTTTCTCTCTCACATGAGTACATGTGCCTTACAGCAAAAAAAATTTTTAGATAAAGAAGCAATTGCAGGAACTAGCAGTTAGCGTAATGGCTATGTCACTGGACTCCCACGTAGTCGACCACGGTTCGCGTCCCGGACCCGGTGGCATAAAACTCACGCCGGGCGTGTGTGCGTGCGTGCCCAAGATCCCGAGAGGAGAATGGAGGAGAAGGGATTGCGGCGTGACCATCCCCCCTGGGGGGTGATTTCTCGCTTTCTGTCTCTATGTCTTCTCTCTGACTGTCTGGCGAGCGCACGCGCCCTGTAGCAAAATCTCTCCAAAAAAAAAAGAAGCAATTTCAGGAAAACATGAGCTGCATATAATAAGTGGTTTACACGTATCAAGGGCTTGTTATATGCCAGGCACTGTGCTAAGAGTTTCGCCTGCAATAACCCTGTGAGGCAGGTGATCCTATCATCACCCCCATTTACGGTCAGACCCAGGCAGAGAGAAGTAAAATAAGTTACCCAAAGAAACACATCTAGAAGTCAGCCAAGCTAGATTGAACCCAGCTCCAAGTCCTCCCAGCCTTCTGTGTTTGCAAAAGCCTCGATGCTGCAGCCCTAAGCTACCACCCAATGAGGCAAAGACAGGAAGCACATAAAAACAGAGGCTTGGCAAGATCCTTGTTTGAGGACGCTCGGTCACATGCTGTTGTGGATATTCGCTCAGGCAGAGTAAGCCAAGATATCAGCTGATTGCTCCTGGAAGGGGTGCAGTGATCAAGGTTCCCAAAGAAATAAGAACATCCTGTTTTTTCACACGTGCTATATTAAGTCTGGTTTCAGCAAACACTTGGATAGCAGCACCCATGGCTCCTCCTCCCCCCTCCTGTTACCTAATACTCAGACCTAAAGGCTTCCAAAAGGGAACAGATCAGTCAATGAATGATAATCAGTATATCCTGCCTGCCTGCCTGCCTATGAAGGTGCCTTGAAACCAATGATTAGCTGAGTAGCATTACTGATATGGAAAGAATCCTTTTCTTTTCTTTTTTTTTTTTTTTTTGAGAGGTTTTCACTATAGGGCGAGTGCGCTCACCAGAAAGAGAGACAGAAAGCAAGAAATCCCCCCCAGGAGGGATGGCCACGCCACAATCCCTTTCTCCTCCATTCTCCTCTTGGGATCTTGGGCACACAAGCACATGCGCCTGGCGTGAGTTTAAGCCACCAGGACTCAAACTGCAGTCAACTACATGGGAGTCCAGCAACATAGCCATTACACCAACTGCTGGTCCCAAGAATCCTGTTTGTTTTTTCTTTGGAGAGGTTTTCTTTTGTGCTATAGGGCGCGTGCGCTCTCCAGAGAGACAGAGAGACAGAACACGAGAAATCACGCAGGAGGGATGGCCACACCGCAATCCCTACTCCTCCATTCTCCTCTTGGGATCTTGGGCACACAAGCACATGCGCCTGGCGTGAGTTTAAGCCACCAGGTCTGGGACTTGAACCATAGTCAACTACATGGGAGTCCAGTAGAGTAACCGATATGTCATCTGCTGGTCCCAAAAGAATCCTTTCTGAAAACAAAGTACGCGTTAATGTAATAAGTACCTTTGCTCTGCTTTAAGAGTGACTTAGATTGGGGCCAGCAGGTGGTGTGGTGGATAAGGGCGCTGGATTCCCACATGGCTGATTATGGCTCGAGTTCCAGACCTCGAGGCTTGCTTTCTCACTTTCCCTTTCTCTCTCTCTTTCTCTGGTCAAATTAAAAAATAACAATAACAAATGGAATTACATACATCTTTTTTTTAAAAAAATGACTTGTATTAAATACTGAATATATTCCGAAGTCAGCATGAGACCAAAAAAAAAAAAAAAAAAGCCTACTGAAAGGCAGAATCCTTTTTATTACAATATATTTGTACATACAAAATACATTATTTGGGATTCAGTTTGTACCAGAGAGGAACTAGCAGGATGGTGTGGTGGGTAAGGCGCTAAACTCTCATATGGCCAAACACAGTGCAGGTCCTGGACCTGGTGGCTTGAAACTCATGCTGGGCAGGCGTGCATGTGTGCTCAAAATCCCAGGAAGAGAATGTAGGAGAAGGGACTGCAATGTGGCCATACCCTGCTGAGGAATGATTTCTCACTTTACCTCTCTCTCCCTTTCTCTGTCTCTCTTCAAGCACATCCACCCTATGGCATTAAAAAAAAAAAAAATACTTAAGATAAAACCCTACTCATTATGACATCAAACAACCTGAGCAACCTAGCAAGCTAATGCAAGGATTATCTTTTGCCCCAAAACTTTTTTTTATTTTTTTAATTGCAAATTGGTGAATCTGAAAAATGTTATTTGAGAATTCTTTGTATTATTCTTGCAACTTTGCAAAGGTATTAAATTATATCAAAATTGAAAGTTCTGGGGCCAGCAGGTGGCATGGTGTTTAAAGGGGCTAGATTCCCACATGGCCAACTGCAGTTCGAGTCTAGACCTGGCAGCCTGCTTTCTCCCTTTCCCTTTCTTTCTCTTTCTGTCTCTCTCTGATCAAATTTTTTAAAAATAATAATAAATGGAACTAAATAAATAAATAATTCTTTTTTTTAGAGAATGAAAAGTTCTCAAGAGAGAAATATGGGGACCAGCAGTTAACGTAATGGCTACGTTGCTAAACTCCCATGTAGTCGATCGCAGTTCAAGTCCTGGACCCGGTGGCTTAAAACTCACGTCGGGTGCATGTGCCCAAGATCCAGAGAAGAAAATGGAGGAGAAGGGGAGGAGAAGGGATTGTGGTGTGGCCATCCCCCCTGAGGGGTGATTTCTCGCTTTCTCTCTCTCTGTCTCACTCTGTCTCTCTGGTGAGCACATGTGCCCTGTAGCAAAACCCTCTCCCCCCCCCAAAAAAAAAGAGAGAGAAACATGAAAATGCCCTTGACACATGCTATCCCCACAGCTGGACTCCTCTCTTTCAAACTGCTTACAATACCCTACATTGGCTTATTTCTTCAGCTCCACTAGCTCTATGACTCTATGACATGACTTCCAGAAACTGCTGCTCTGACATTCCTTCTCTTCAAGAAGCCACTCCCAGATTGTCCTCTAGCTTCGTTGCCTGTTCTTATTTTCTATCTCTAATTGTACCTTCTTGAAGTTTAGCCAAAACCTCTCTTCTTTCCTTTCCTCCTCTGAGACATTAACTGCCACCCAGTCGTCTCTCTCTAACTCAGATGCCCCAGCCTCAGCTGGTACGTCCGCGCCCTGGCTTCCCTGTTTCTGACAACGCTCTGCTCCAAGTTCTCCACTAAGCCCTGCATCCTCCTGCTGTACTTGCCTGAACTCCACCAGAAGTTCATGTCCCTCTCCTGAATAACTTCTGA